GCTGAATATTTTAGTTATGTTCTCTCTATAAACCCTTTCGGCAATCTGACAAATTGTAGTAACATCTTTTGAGGGATAAATTAGCTTTCCCTCATTTTTTAAATTTATCAATAAACAATTTTTTTCACTAGATACTAAATACCTTTTACAAAAAGTGCACATATTTGACGCTAAAATTTTGTTAACAACATATCTGCTGATGTATTCTATCACATTTTCTACATAGTTATTAAATTTCTACATTGTATTTACATAATCGTGATCGAACACATCAGCGGAAATGTTTTCACAATTTTCTTGTAATGGACATACATATTGGCTTCGTTTTGATGATATGTGTAAAATATCTAATCCGTCTGCCAAGCAATTCCAATTATCAAAAATTTTTATTTCGCTTCTAATTAATAAGCGTCTGAAGGCACTTTCAAATTGCTTGGCATTCGGATTATTATTGAAGCCACCACGACTTCTGATAGCGCTAAAATACGTCTCGATAAAATCTTGGCTTAATTTAAATGTTAGAAGATAATCTATAATATCTTTTATATCTTCAAAATATTTAAATACATTAGTAAGGTCTATGACTAAGCCTAACAATCCAATTTTTCGTGGACCATCTATAAGTTTAATCCCATGAGGATCTTTAAGAGCTACAATATATTTAATTAATATATTTGCTTTTTCTCTACAATTTTCAATTGTTTCATTTGATAGTGGACGATTAAATTCATTGTGTTTTGAAAATTTATTCCGACAATTCAACATATCAAATATATTGTTACACATTAGGCAAAAATTAGCAGTGCCTTCACACTCATCAAATGTGACGGGATTGTACTTTGTTTGTTTTAAAAATAGTAATGCATTGTATACACTTTTGCTCAATGTTTGAGTGGCCAATTTAACATTCATACGATTGTCGTAATACTTTATGTGTTTTGTTGTAATTTTGGTGGCTAAGTGCAAGCCTTCTTTTAATTGAATTTTATTTAATTCTGTTATATGTAACCAGTTAATTTTTTTATTGTCACCATCTACAATTAAGCCTTTGTCACCCAGCGTGTTTCTCACAAGCTTTATCATGTGACAAGCATCAAAAAAAATGTAGATGTTCTTCTTTGTGATAGGGTGCTCGATCCAGGGTTTAAAATTCTTAGAGGAAAAATTAAAATTGGCCCCCATATTGTTACACATTCCTAAATTAACTGATGCGCCATCGAAGGTAATTGATCTAACATGCGCACCAGTCTCATGTAATAGCTCCAGGCATGTTTTTAATAAATTGGCTCTTTCTGAGCTGGTAAGGCCTTTAATCAGAAAATATGCCACCGGAACCTTCCATCCGCCGTTCACACAGACCGCCATAAAAACCAGGGCATTTTTAGCTAATTGAATATTATCACTATCTTGATTTGAAGTACTAGTTCCAAGATCCACTCCTCCATAAAATCTGTTTTTGTCAAAAATCCTTTGTTCTCGTAACGCCATTTCATCTATGACGAGGTTTATCAAAATATTTTTTGTAGAGGCTTGCACACGAATGGCGGATAATGCCTCAGAGGTAAAACCAGGTTTGCCATCAACAACAGCATACCATGCACGAAGTGTGGATGGATGAGGCAACAAGTTTTGCCACGTTCTTCGAACATAACTATAAGCTTTCGCAGAATAAAATTGTAAAGTTAAAGCAAATGCTCGCAGTTCCGGTGCAAATCGCCTCCTCTTTGTCTGCAACTTTCTTCCAATTAACTGTTTCACGCTATCTGGTAATATATCCTATAACAACATATTAACTTGCCTTTAATATTTATTACACCGTAATATTAATTTTAATTGTTTAAGCTTATTTGTTTTCTGATTAATTATTAATAGTTTTCCTTAAAAAAGAGGAATTAAGTGCCAACAAATTCTAAGATGAAAAAAAATTTCTTAAACTACTAATTACAACTATCAACCCAATTACATTAATGAAAAACTAATTTACAACGCTTTTAAACGATTTGTCCACATTTACATAAACTTTTAGTTTACATTAAGTATTGATCTGTTAATAACCTATTTATAAATGAATAGAAGATAAAATATGTATACAAGTAATGTTATTAATTAGTTTTTAGTTTTTCCAAAAACATTTTTTAATAGTGATCTATATTCTACTATTGGATTTGAAACTAATGTCTCATTTAACCTTTAACTACTAAATGCCTCATATATAAATATAAATAACAATAAAAAAAGAATAAATGTTAGATATTGAAGGTTAACCCACAGTATAAATAACTGAAAAAAGTTGTGAAAGAAGACTTGGAAGATAATTAATAAGATAAAGATCACAAATGTACCATCAATGTATCGCCAGCATCTTCAGATAGAATATTCCCTGCCCTTAGATGTTTGATAAGTCCCTGCAACGATGAAACTTTTTTCTGTAATCTTCCCACTTTTCCTTGTAGAGTTTTAATTTGTCGTGCTTTCTTTTTTATATCAGCTTGTGCTAAAGCCACTACCCGTTTAGCTCTTCGAGGAGTAGCTACATCAGCAGAAGTTATTTCGCCAACATAACGAGGAGAGTAAAATTTTCTTTTCTTGGGAGTACATGGTAGAGTTTCATCTAAAAAAGGGTTAAGTATTGCGTTTAAATAGTGTTCTACACTTAACAGACTGGGAACAATTCAGGGTAACATCAAACATACACTGAAGCAACAATTTATTTATAAAGCAATACATACCCAATTCAGTATTAATACTTGATGTAGTCTCTTCTACTGATTGTGTTGTAGTAGGAAATAATTGCTTTCGAATCAACTGTGTTGTATCTATTGATTGCATTGTAGGCGATAGTACCTCTGGCAATTTTGCAACTTCTGATGTTATATTCTCAAAAGCAACATCTGTCGGTTCACATCTTGTGAGTTGATTCGGCACAGACACAGACGGAACTGTATTAGGTCTTAACCTTAATGCACCACCCAATTTCTTGGCGTTTGGCTCAAAATAATCTTGTGGTAAAAAATGATTTGAGCATATTTTAAGTTTAGAAACGTTATCTCTGTCGTCGTAGTTACATATTTGCTTCCACGAAGCAAGCTGTACATCATCTTTTGGAAAACTGCAACGATATTGATGATGTTAAGAGAAATTAAAATAGAAATTACCCTGTATTGATATATAAATATTTACTTACACATGCAAGGTTGCTGGAGGGCCCTTTCTACATATACAACACCGGACAGGAGGCATTGCTTACATGCAGTAAATTTAGAATAAAATAACACTGAAAGAAAATAACATGTACATACCTACACCAGATATTTTTATTATTATAATTTCTTACCGTACGTCTATAAAATTATGTACAAACACTAATATTAAAAAANTTCTGAACATTTTATTTATAATTTATACAATTTTACGTTTTTTAAATATAATACAACTTCTAATTAATATAAACTTACTTCTCTTCACATCTTAAATAAAAAAAACCTTTTTACACTTTTTTAAATAATTTACAAATAAATATTGTCGCCTAACTGTTTTTGGCCTCTCATCAAAACAAAATAAAAAAGATTAAATTAAAATGTTCGTATCACATTGGAAATTATATTTAATCAAAAAAAAACTCCAATTTCAATGATTATTATTTTTTTTCATCTTTAATATTGGGCAAAGTGTTTTAAATTTTTAATTCTTACATTAATAAATGAATAAATAAACGAAATCATCACCTTCCTTTCAAACACCTTCCTTTCAGGAGCGAGAGAGTCGTCGTCTGACCAGCGTCGAATCCACGTCGTCAAACAGAAAAAATTTAAATCTCGGAGAGATAACCTTTCCTGTAACCATCCAGAAAACTAGTTCGTGCTCCGAAACCAAGAAACAATCCATTATCCTGATACCACATTGAATTCCAATCCTTTCTTTTTCGCAGTGAGTTGAATGATAATTTATTTTTCTTATTTAACATAACCTACAAAAGGAAAATCAACGAATCAAACTCAAAAGACAACTCACAAGAGTTTCTTTTTAATTTTGATCAATACTTACTTGTGGGTAAAGATTTTTCAGTTTGTCTTGTATAACTTTCTTTTATTTAACACTATTTTTCCAACGAGTTTGATTTCGATTTAAGGCGTCTGCCATTTGTTATTTCTAAGAACTCTCTCTCTCGAAAGAATAAACGTGTTCTCTCTCAGATCGATGTTTCAGTCGATTATCGCAGTTTTCTATTTTATTTAAAAGTTACCTCTCGTCAATAGACATTGTTGATAAAGTAAATTTAGAAAATACCAAGGTATTTAAAAAGACAGGAGATATGATTTTTTGAAAACTATTCTTTGTTTATAAATTTGACAATTTCGTCGTTAATCATTTTTTTCTGGAAATAAACTAGAATTTTTAAGCTTCAATTTAATATACAAGGTTGCCAGGTACTTCTCACGATTTTATTACAAAAATAATATAATAATTAATGTTAATAAAATCAAAATAAAATCATAACATTTTCAATTCGAATTGTAGGTTACTGTAAATTTCTCTATTAGTTACATTTATTCGCCGCTAGATGGCGCTAAGAAATTACTTTAACATAAACTAGTAGAAATGATTTTTTGAAAATTTCTTTTTATTTATAATTTTGATAATTTCAATAATATTATGATATAGTTTCTATATCATATTATTATAAACTAGAATTTTTAAGCTTCAATTTAGCATACATATACCAAGATTTTTAAAAACACAGTAACTGCACAAATGTATTTAGATTAAATTTAGTGAACATACAAATAAAACTAATAACATTAGAGCACTGATTTTTTTATTCATTTTTAATGAAATTATTTACAATTTTTGTTCGACAACAAAATAACTTAAAAAATAATACTAAAATCGTCAAAGTAAAATTGATTCGTTACGGTATTGATAAATAATAAATTTGATCTTGCGTTGATTTTTGCGTTATTTTTGTTGATTTAATAACAATAGTTGACATGGCAGTGCAATTTTTTTACACACATACTTATAATCTAAACTTATCCTAATCGAACCGGATTTTTGACATTAATTTTTATGGGTAATAATAAGCCTTCAAGAACATGTATTATTATTTTTTAATGTTTTAATTCATTTAATGGTAATGTTTTATTATATTTTTTTAAGAAACATCCAGTATTTTTCCGAAGCCTTAAACACTAAATTTAAATTTTTATATTAACAGTGCATTCTTATAAATATTAAATTCTTTGGTATAATACTATATTTATTATTATTCCAATTTATTGTATACCTACAGAGCACTTTAATTATAATTAATAGATAAGTTATTTCTTAATTTAGAAGCAGTCAGTGCTCGAAGAATGAAAGGTCAAAAGCAATTTTATCCTTTTTAAATTCCTATATTTACAAAAAACACCACGCAATAGACTCGTATTGTTATTTCGCTTTAGAATTAGAATAAATACACCATAAATATATTAGCATTTTTTTAGATATGAACAAATTATATTTTTCTTTTTATTTTTTTCTCTCTTCCGTAATATATTTTGATAAATAGCTTTCTTCTTTTTGGAGGAAAAGGGATAAATTCTAAAAGATACTAACAGTCAGTCAAGTTTTTTTTTTAATTATTTTAATCGAAACGTTTGATTATTTCGCAATAACTCCCCTTTTAACACAACATTAAAAAGTATAGCGAATTTAAAATTTTTCTAGTCTTTTTCTTTTTAAGGGGATTAAAAAATATTGTCTTTTTCTAAACCTTTTGAAAGGATGTAAGGGAAAATTGACTAAAAAGCTCTCGTCGCAGAGCGGGAATGACAGAAAATTTTAAGTTTTACCCTTTCATTATTTTATTAGAGTAGCAAATACTTCGCTACTATTAGGGTTAAAAGGTGTGGTGTTATTGAAAGGGGGGATATACTAGAAACAACAATATCCCCTTTATCAATGAATGGATAATCAATTACGTGAATTATTCCATTCGTACATTCAATATTTGGTCGAAAAACTTGGATCTTCTTTCCTTGCCAATGAATTATAAAACCTAAATTATCAAATTAATTAATTAATTACTTATAAAGAATAACTAACTTACTGTTATTGTTTTGTTCTTCAACTGAAATTGTGATGTTATCTCGAATCGTTTTTAAATCGACCCCTTTCGTTTGATTTCCCATCAATTTTAATTTTTGCATCGTATAAGATTCTTCATCAACGACTAAATGGCGTTCTAAAATTTGTTCGGCCTATAAAAAGCAATAAATCAATAAATATATTTTAAAGAAAAAACAATTATTTAACCTGATAAATATATTCGTGCATAAAAACTTTTTTTATCGCCGATGGTAAATCTAATCGAGCTTGATTCCAAGCTTTAGCACTTGGAACGAAATAAGTAAATTTTCTTGAAGTATCATTTAATAATTCGTTAACTCGAGTTCTTGCACCCAACACATAAGTATCGCTGAAAAAGATTTGTTAATTATTTATTTACTAAAAGTTAATTTTTCTTACTTTAAAGTAGAGTCGTATTTTAATTTATCAAAAATCGTGGTGTAAGGGAACCCTAAAACCCTATCGATAACATGAATAACACCGTTACTGGCCGCGATGTCTGGTTGGACGATATTGGCCATAACACCACCGCCTTCAACCATAAACGTACGATTATGATTATTTTGATTAACGGAAAAGAATAAGTTCTTCTTGCTGTTATAAGTGCCCTTTTGAACGACTTCTTTATTGGCGATTCGATCGATGTAAACGGCCTCGTCGGGAATTAGATGCATCGTTAAGACATCTTTAATTTTAGATCCTTCCTTAAGAAGATTTTGAAGATTGCTTTCATCCCAAGCGGCGTTTGTCGGCGCGAATAACGTTATTTGTTTCGAACGTTCGATTACGTTCATGAACTCTTTCCCTAACACTTCCGAATGGAAGATTTCTTGGCAGAATTTACTTAATGGACCATCTTCTTTTTCCTTTTAAAAATTAAAAACTATAAATTATAAACAACGTTTTATAGAAAAATTTAATATTAAACAAGTTTAAAGAATCATGCATTTTTCAAAACTAACTACAATAATGGTTGTTATAAATGATTATGATATACCAGGTGTGTTAATATGAAATTGAAATTTTTATATGGAAAATACTTTCTTTTTCACTCCTTCTTTATTTTGTTGTGTTTAATTTTTTTCTGGAAATTTCAACAACATTATCATATAGTTTCTATATCATATTGTAAACTAGAATCTTTAAGCTTCAATTTAACATACATATGACATCGAAATTCTTAAAAATACGGTCGATACGATTTTTTGAAAATTTCGCTTTATTTTTGATTAATAAATTCGACAATTTCTTCTTTAATCATGTTTTTTTTGGAAATTTCAATAATATGATATAATAGTTTTTATATCATATCATAAATTAGAATCTTTAAGCTTCAATTTAACATACATATCATATCGAAATTCTTAAAAATACGGGCGATACGATTTTTTGGAAATTTTGCTGTATTTTTGATTAATAAGTTCGACAATTTCTTCTTTAATCATGTTTTTTTGAAAATTTCAATGATATGATATTATAGTTTTTATATCATATCATAAACTAGAATCTTTAAGCTTCAATTTAACATACGTATCATACCAAGATTATTAAAACCACAGGAGATATGATTTTTTGAAAATTTCGCTTCATTTTTTATTTATAAGTTTGACAATTTTTTCTTTAATCATATTTTTCTGGAAATTTCAATAATATGATATTATAGTTTTTATATCATATCATAGATTAGAATCTTTAAGCTTCAATTTAACATACATATCATATCGAAATTCTTAAAAATACGGTCGATGATTTTTTGAAAATTTCGCTATATTTTTGATTAATAAGTTTGACAATTTCTTCTTTAATCATGTTTTTTTGGAAATTTCAATAATATGACATTATAGTTTTTATATCATATCATAAACTAGAATCTTTAAGCTTCAATTTAACATACATATCATATTGAAATTCTTAAAAATACGGTCGATATGATTTTTTGAAAATTTCGCAATATTTTTGATTAATAAGTTTGACAATTTCTTCTTTAATCATGTTTTTCTGGAAATTTCAATAATATGATATTATAGTTTTTATATCATATCATAAACTAGAATCTTTAAGCTTCAATTTAACATAACATATCATACCAAGATTTTTAAAACCACAGGAGATATGATTTTTTGAAAATTTCGCTTCACTTTTTATTTATAAATTTGACAATTTTTTCTTTAATCATATTTTTCTGGAAATTTCAATAATATGATATTATAGTTTTTATATCATATCATAAATTAGAATCGTTAACCTTCAATTTAACATACATATCATATCGAAATTCTTAAAAATACGGTCGATATGATTTTTTTTAAATTTCGCTATATTTTTGATTAATAAGTTTGACAATTTCTTCTTTAATCATGTTTTTATGGAAATTTCAATAATATGATATTATAGTTTTTATATCATATCATAAACTAGAATCTTTAAGCTTCAATTTAACATACGTATCATACCAAGATTTTTAAAACCACAGGAGATATGACTTTTTGAAAATTTCGCTTAATTTTTTATTTATAAATTTGACAATTTTTTCTTTAATCATATTTTTCTGGAAATTTCAATAATATGATATTATAGTTTTTATATCATATCATAAATTAGAATCTTTAAGCTTCAATTTAACATACATATCATATCGAAATTCTTAAAAACATGGTTGATATGATTTTTAGAAAATTTCGTATTTTGATTTATAAATTTGACAAATTTGTCTTTAATTTTTTTCTGGAAATTTCAATAACATTATCATATAGTTTCTATATCATATCGTAAACTAGAATATTTAAGCTTCAATTTAACATACATATCATATCGAAATTCTTAAAAGTACGGTCGATACGATTTTTTGAAAATTTTGCTGTATTTTTGATTAATAAGTTTGACAATTTCTTCTTTAATCATGTTTTGCTGGAAATTTCAATAATATGATATTATAGTTTTTATATCATATCATAAACTAGAATCTTTAAGCTTCAATTTAACATACATATCATACCAAGATTTTTAATACCACATGAGATATGATTTTTTGAAAATTTCGTTTCACTTTTTATTTATAAATTTGACAATTTTTTCTTTAATCATATTTTTCTGGAAATTTCAATAATATGATATTATAGTTTTTATACCATATCATAAACTAGAATCTTTAAGCTTCAATTTAATATATACATCATATCGATATTCTTAAAAATACGGTTGATATGATTTTTAGAAAATTTCGTATTCTGATTTATAAATTTGACAAATTTTCTTTAATTTTTTTCTGGAAATTTCAATAACTTTATCATATAGTTTCTATATCATATCGTAAACTAGAATCTTTAAGCTTCAATTTAACATATAGTTCATTTTTTTTCTATAATACCTGTCAAATTGTTGTAAAGTTGGCAAAATTAACAGAGAGTTTTGTTTTATCATGTTTTAAAATAGATATGTCACACTGACGTTTGAGCTTTCGTTATTCAAAAAGAAAAAGTGCACAAAAAATGTTGTGGAGTGTTTATTTGCCATTTATTTATCTAGAAAAGGTGTTTTGTTGTATTTAATTACTTTGTAGCACGTTTTTACAATAAATATGTACCTCGTTAAAATCGTATTTATCTAAAAAGTTATTAGTATTTTAACCTCAACTATTTAGTTACTGAACATGTTACTAAAAATCAGGAAAACAACATAAATTTTATAAGAGTCCTAGATAATACCAACAGAAGCCCTAAAAAATTTACATTGACAAGTATTATAGAAAAAAAACGAACTATACATATCATATCGAAATTCTTAAAAATACCGTCGATACGATTTTTTGAAAATGTTGCTGTATTTTTGATTAATAAGTTTGACAATTTCTTCTTTAATTATGTTTTTTTTGAAATTTCAATAATATGATATTATAGTTTTTATATCATATCATAAACTAGAATCTTGAAGCTTCAATTTAACATACATATCATACCAAGATTTTTAAAAACAACAGGAGATACGATTTTTTAAAAATTTCGCTTTATTTTTGATTAATAAGTTTGACCATTTCTTCTTTAATCATGTTTTTCTGGAAATTTCAATAATATGATATTATAGTTTTTATATCATATCATAAACTAGAATCTTTAACCTTCAATTTAACATACATATCATATCGAAATTCTTAAAAATACGGTCGATATGATTTTTTGAAAATTTCGCAATATTTTTGATTAATAAGTTTGACAATTTTTTCTTTAATCATATTTTTCTGGAAATTTCAATAATATGATATTATAGTTTTTATATCATATCATAAACTAGAATCTTTAACCTTCAATTAAACATACATATCATATCGAAATTCTTAAAAATACGGTCGATACGATTTTTTGAAAATTTCGCAATATTTTTGATTAATAAGTTTGACAATTTCTTCTTTAATCGTGTTTTTCTGGAAATTTCAATAATATGATATTATAGTTTTTATATCATATCATAAATTAGAATCTTTAAGCTTCAATTTAACATACATACCATATCGAAATTCTTAAAAATACGGTCAATATGATTTTTTGAAAATGTCGCAATATTTTCGATTAATAAGTTTGACCATTTCTCCTTTAATCATGTTTTTCTGGAAATTTCAATAATATGATATAGTTTTTATATCATATCATAAATTAGAATCTTTAAGCTTCAATTTAACATACATATCATATCGAAATTCTTAAAAATACGGTCGATATGATTTTTTGAAAATTTCGCAATATTTTTGATTAATAAGTTTGACAATTTCTTCTTTAATCATGTTTTTCTGGAAATTTCAATAACATGATATTATAGTTTTTATATCATATCATAAACTAGAATCTTTAACCATCAATTTAACATACATATCATATCGAAATTCTTAAAAATACGGTCGATATGATTTTTTGAAAATTTCGCTATATTTTTGATTAATAAGTTTGACAATTTCTTCTTTAATCATGTTTTTCAGGAAATTTCAATAATATGATATTATAGTTTTTATATCATATCATAAACTAGAATCTTTAACCTTCAATTTAACATACATATCATATCGAAATTCTTAAAAATACGGTCGATATGATTTTTTGAAAATTTCGCTTTATTTTTGATTAATAAGGTTGACCATTTCTTCTTTAATCATGTTTTTCTGGAAATTTCAATAATATGATATTATAGTTTTTATATCATATCATAAACTAGAATCTTTAAGCTTCAATTTAATATAGACATCATATCGAATATCGATATGATTTTTTTAAAATTTCGCATTATTTTTAGCATTCTGTAGTTCAGAACTTTTGAACCAAAACAGCCCTATTGTCTCTTCTGATGTTGTTCTTGGTCTTTCTATAGGTAGCCTGTCTTGCGTTCTGGCATCCACGTACATCCATGGTTTCGTCACATCTCCCATTTGTCTTATGTGGCCAAACCAAAACAAGTGTCTATCCTCATGTACTGTGTGAGAAAATGTGATCTTGACCTTCATCCCTTACGTGTCTGGCAATTTGTGAATTCTCTGTCAAAAAATTGTTGGTCTTTTAAGACAAACCAGTCATCGAGCCATTTTTGTACATTTTTTGTAAGATGCAAATAAGTAGTAATCAAATGGAGCCAAGTCTAGTGACCAGTTCTATTTTCTCATCTTCTTGATCTTTCCCGTGATTTTCAAAGTATGGAGTCTGAAATATTGACTGCATCTCTCTTCTTGTTGGTTTTTAATAATAAATACACAATTACAAAAATAAAGTTTGCTAAAAAATACTAAAAATGATGCGGTTACATTGACAGCTATTTATGAGCAAATCATTTCATTTTGACACACTTGGTAATGATTTATATACAATATCATGCAAAAAAAAACGAGAGTTGTGTTATAAAAGTCTTTTTTAGTACGTTTTGTGCCTAAAAGTAGAGGTAAAATCTGTGTATGTGCCTGAAACAGTTAGTCTTTTGTGTTTTAATTTTTTTTAGTGTTTCTTTTTGGGAAGGGTGTTAGTTCCAGGACAAAACTTTCGTTACCTTGTTTAACTACCGGACGCATTAGCGAATCCCACGTTAAATAGAGGACACATCCGGAAAAATAAAAATGTTATACAAAAAAACTTTTCTTTTACTAAATTTTTTTTTAAGGTTTTAATTAAAAAAAAATTACTTAATATATCATATTATTGTATTATACAGTTTGGAGTTGAAGCAAAAAGCTTTCTAAATCCAAATATTAATATAACTTACCTCTAAAAACTGTTTCACAGTTTGATCGACTACCATTAAAGGTTTATGGATTAAATGAACAACTCCATTTCGCACTGGAATATTTGCTTGTTTTATCGCTGCTATAACAACTCCTTTTTTATCGCCGTAAAGAGTATGACTTTTGATGTAAACTAAAGATATAAATCGTTTTATGTTATTAATATAGAAATATAAAAATTGATTTACTCATTGTTGATTTTCCTTCGGTTTCTTCAGAAAATGCGACATGCACCTTTATGTTATCGCTATTAGCTAAAGTTTGAAAGTTTTCTCCTTTTTCAGTTGGCGATGTGAATAAAACTTGTTTCGGAATAACATGTCCATCGATAACTTTAGCATCAACGGCTTTCGTATTTTTAAATCCATCATCAACCGGAATAAAAAAGGTATGTCCACCTTCCGTTTTAAATATTTCTTGTTTCTTATGAAACAAAATTTGCTCTTTAAATAATCGTATCCGATGGTTTTTAATGTTCATCCACGACTCGTAGTTATCAATAAATTCCCAAGCGTTTGGACTGTAAAGATCAGTTTGACCGATTGTCCTTGTTACAACCGGAACTAAAACTTCATCGATTTTATGGAGAATCTGTTCCATATTTCTTGAGTTCTTCGCTTGAATATTTGATTGTACCAATAAAATTCTTGCGTTATTTATGTAAATTGCGGTATCGTATTTTTCTGATTTATGAGTTATCCACAACGGTGGGTTTCCCTCTAAATCGGATATTAAATGAGTGTTTGATGATCCTAATTGAGATGTTTTTTTCGGCAAATTTACTAAAAATTAAAATAATGTTAAGATAATTGGGCACATATATTAAGATTAGCTGTCCCTCTTAAAAATCGATGAATTTTTTTT